GTCTTTAATTGGAGGAATATATAAACAAATGTGTTGTGTGAAATCTACCCCTGCGCACATAGTGTTTATGGCAGTTACAGTTGCATATGTTATGGTTTAACTTGTCACTAGAGACAAGCTGTACTGTAATGTACTAGATAACTTAAGTACTTTCAAGAGCTGTTGCACCAAGATACACTGCTTTACACACAAACACACGAAATTTGTTCAGTTTTACAGTTGGCTCTTTTGCTTGCCTTGGTGAATGTTTCTCAATTAGTATAATATCATTTTTCTCAGGATTCTGATCAGTGTATAAAATCTGTCTTTGCTGCTTCTGAATAGAATAGCTATATTATTGTGATATCCTAGGGGATATCACAAGCCAGTTGTGGGACTTGACGTGTAGATATTAGTTTCAAAGTAGGATACATAGTATAATACGAAGCCAACACCAAAGGAAGATTTTCTAGGTGAGAAAACATTGTTTTGCATATTTAAGAGAGTTCAGTCAAGTCTCTAAAAAGTTTTTTTTTTTTTTTCAACGTTTATTTATTTTATTTTTGGGACAGAGAGAGACAGAGACAGAGCATGAACGGGGGAGGGGCAGAGAGAGAGGGAGACACAGAATCGGAAACAGGCTCCAGGCTCAGCTGTCAGCACAGAGCTGATGCAGGGCTCGAACTCACAGACCGCGAGATCGTGACCTGGCTGAAGTCGGACGCTTAACCGACTGCGCCACCCAGGCGCCCCTCTAAAAAGTTTTGAAGTCAAACTGTGACGCAGTGACTGTTGAAGAACAAATTAAGGAATGATGGTCATTGTTAATGTATTTTGAGCTTCACAGGATTATTCCAGTCTCTGTTTAAATGATATGTAACAGCTTTCCCTTCTTAAAAACAAAACTAAAAATATTCCTTGGACTTGCCATCCCTTTCTGTCCATCTGCCATCCATTATTGTGCTCCTTACTGTAACAAAATACTCAGGAAAAGCTCTCTGTATTCCTTATTACTGTTTCCTCACTGCGCAGCCATTGCACTCAGACTTTCATCATTTCCACTCCCACATTAATTTCTTACCCAGTCTCTCAGTGTCACTCTCAATTTGCACACCTGTACCTCTGCATTTCTTCAAAATTATCAGTAAAGATTTTGAAACTTAACACTCCCCTGCTTAAAACCAGTTTCTAGACACACACCAAGAATGGTTTGGGCTGGGTCCAGGCATTAGTATGTTTGAATAATTGCTCAGATAATTCTAATATCAGGCTGAAAGCCCCTGCTCTAGTGGCTTCTCTCATCCTCATAATAAAAGTTACACCACTTTATAACCTACAAGGCTCCTGACTAGTTCTCTGATGTCATCTCCTACCTATTTTCTTCACTGCCTCCCTCTACTATATTGGCCTTCTTCAAAGATGCCAGGACTTTGTTCTTAGCATCACTGTGTCTGTAGTACTAGAACAGTACCTCTGGCACACTGTATTTGTTTAGTGGATATTTGTTGAAGTAATATTTTATGGATGCTGTTTGTTCTTATTCTGTAGTAGCAATTACCCTATAATTAAAGCCAATTAGGTTCCTGGTGTTTAAGAATGCTACCAAAAATCCTGTTTGAACATTATGTCACGGTCTCCCAGGGTCCAGCCATCCCATCTTCCAACATGTCTACTATTTTTGCTGTCAGAATGCCTGCTTTTCTCGGTTTTTGTCTCTTGGCACGTGCACTGTTGACACTTCTGATCTTTTTTGGTGTCCTGTTTCTGCTTTTATTTTGTGTAATTTTTCTTTATTGTTAATCACATTTTCTGTGGATAAAAAAAAATAGTGCTCTTACCAGTCAATAAGACTTTCTTCTGTAGGTGAACAGTCTACTCATAGGATGTCTAGTACATAATCTTTGGATCTTATCTACGTTTATTCTTGATGGATGCAGGTGGGCTGCTCCTTTGTTGTGAGAAAGGGAGGTGGAATAGATGGGGAGGGTCAGATTCTTTAAGAGGAAGATCAGGGGAGTTACCTGTTTCTGGGGTTAGAGTTTGAAGACTACTTAATGCAAAGTTGAGATTTGCATCTCATCAGGGGCCTACAAAGTTTTTCTGTAGAAGTCCTGATACAAATATTTGGGGCTTTGTGAGTTTGCTCTGCCTGAGTGAATGGTGGCCAGCATGACAGCCAGAAAGTACTAGGAATTTAATGGCTCTGGGAGCAGTCTTTAACCAAGAAAGTGGTTAGATACCTCAGCTTCTCTTTTCTTAGTGGGGACAATTCTTAGGCATGTTCTACATAATTCCTCAGAGGGTCTCTAGCACGACTGAACTCCAGTTATCCACAGCAGTCAATGAACCCTTAATAGACTTTTCTCCATCCAGCTACTGTTGTTAATCCCCTCAAGTGTGCTTCCCCTCAAAGTACTCATCTCAGGTTTGCCTTTTGGGGGAACCCAAATAATAGAAGTCTGTGTTTGCAGACTATTGCTGTAATTAGTAGGGTACGGCTTTTTCTTCCCTTCTCTCCCCAGTGGGAGATAAGGCTTCCTTAATGGTTGACATTGGCACCAGAGTACAATATAGCGAATGGACTGAGGTATGGGGAAGAAAGTATTGTATGCCTGCCTATCATTAGTTCAGTTCAGCCTTACTCAACTCGGTTCATTCTTTGCAGGTTATCTTTTTCTGCCTTAGGTTCTCTATTCAGGAAGAGAAAAGTAAACTGTCTATAACGTGTGACAATTTATCTCACAGTAAATGAAAAGGTCCCAACCTTGGTGATTTTCTGTGAGCTGGATCAGATTTGCGGTTTCTAAAAGTTAATTGACAAATCCTGTGCTGGAAAATAATTTAAGATACAAGTGAGTGCTTATAAGACAGGAGTTACATATATTTCCACAGCCAAACTTCAAATAACATGATTGGGTTTTCCCAAATTTCCCAAAATTTCAAAATGGCAATATAATCTTGCAAGTAACTATAGTTCTCCCATTAAAGTACTTACTAATGGATTTTTTTTAACATCTACAGAATTGAAAGTCTTTTTCCACTTGTGATGTGTTTTCTTTCACAATGAGTAGTTCAATCATGTAAGTTTTACCATTAGAGAAGGTGTTTCTAGGCACATGTTCAATGTGGAAATTTTATTTTTTACTACATGAGGCTTTCAGGTATACAAGTTGTGTTTTTAAAAAGTTCCATATTTGGGGTGCCTGGGTGGCCCAGTTAAGTGTCTGACTCTTGATTTTGACTCAGGTCATGATCTCATTGTTTGTGCATTCGTTCGTGGGTTGAGCCCCATGTCTGTGCTGTCAGCACAGAGCCTGCTTGGGATTCTCTGTCTTCCTCTCTCTCTCTGCCCCTTTCCCGCTTGTGCGCTCTCTCTCTTTAAAAATAAATAAATAAGCCTTTTTTTAAAAAAAGAGTTTCATACTAGTATATGCTTTTAAGCTCGTGTTTTTAAAGTTGACCAATGCTTTTTAAAATCTGTATTAAAATGAGCTTTTTATAATAATAGCTTTTGTTTTTACTTGCAAGAATGTTATTTTCCAGGTTTTTTTCTTCCCCTGGAAGGCTTTGTTTGGCTACTCTTTTTTTGAAATATCCTGTCCCCATTTTTAGTTCCTACTTCAATGCATAAGTGATCTAAAAAGTCTCTACTTTTATTGCTATTTAAAAACTAGCTGAAGGGGTGCCTGGGTGGCTCAGTCAGTTAAGCGTCCAACTTTGGCTCAGGTCATGATCTCACGGTCCGTGAGTTCGAGCCCCACGTTGGGCTCTGTGCTGACAGCTCAGAGCCTGGAGCCTGTTTCTGATTCTGTGTCTCCCTCTCTCTCTGCCCCTCCCCTGTTCATGCTCTGTTTCTCTCTGTCTCAAAAATAAATAAACGTTGGGGCGCCTGGGTGGCGCAGTCGGTTAAGCGTCCGACTTCAGCCAGGTCACGATCTCGCGGTCCGTGAGTTCGAGCCCCGCGTCGGGCTCTGGGCTGATGGCTCAGAGCCTGGAGCCTGTTTCCGATTCTGTGTCTCCCTCTCTCTCTGCCCCTCCCCCGTTCATGCTCTGTCTCTCTGTCCCACAAATAAATAAACGTTGAAAAAAAATTTTTTTTTTAAATAAATAAACGTTAAAAAAAATTTATTAAAAAAAAATAAAAACTAGCTGAGGTTGGATTTTATTTTGCAGGTTTTTTGTTATGATCTGCTTTCTTGAGGGAAGCCAGATCTTGTGTTTATTCCTTAATTTGATTTCATCTAATATAATTGCAGAAGGCTGTAAAATAGTTTAACAGGTATTAATGTTTTCTGTTATGCTTGTATCAAAATATGGTGGAGGGAGTTGGGTCAGTGTAACTTGTAAGTTACTTGGAATGTATTTGGGACAGCCTTTATGGTTGGGATATAGTTTCTTGGGTTTTGTTGTTGTTTTCTCTTACTCATGGGTTTTGTTTCGCATGCTCTTCTTCACTTGGGATATTCGTTTTTGTTCACTTTGATTCTGCATCTTACTCTTCAGTACTCCTTACACACTTCAGCACACATCTGCAGCCTCATAAACAAACCTCAGCCTTCTCACCTGCCCTATCAGAATAGTGTCCATTCCTCAAAGCTGGGCTCAGAACCTACCAACTCAACCTCATTAATTTTTCCGAGTCTAGTCCCCAGGGTTCTCCTTGTTCTCTGAGTGACTCTAGTGTCACTCTTCATGCTGTGTGTCCCATATTGCACCTGATGTAAGCATTATTAGTTATCCTGTATATGGCCTCAGCCACCTTGTTCATGGCCTTTCATAGGCAGAGGGTGTTTTCTCAGCTATTTATTATTTGTTTTGTACCTATCACATAAAGGCACTTAGTATTTAATTAGTTGCTTGTATTAAACACCCAATTTAGTTTTCCTCTTGTAATTTCTCTTAAGGTAATCTTAGTGATTTTTTTTAAGTGTTTTATTTATTGCTTGTTTTTTTATAGACGTAAAAAAAGATTGGTCTGACCATGCTCTCTGGTGGGAAAAGAAGAAAACTTGGCTTCTTAAAACACATTGGACCTTGGATAAGTACGGCATTCAGGCAGATGCCAAGCTTCAGTTCACCCCCCAGCACAAACTTCTCCGCCTACAACTTCCCAACATGAAGTATGTGAAGGTGAAAGTGAATTTCTCTGATAGAGTCTTCAAAGCTGTTTCTGACATCTGTAAGACTTTTAGTAAGTATTAAATTCTTCTTGAAATTATGAGTGTGTGACATATATATGACTGATATTGACCCTTAGCTTATTTCATGGAATAGGGATTGGGGTGAGCTATCTATGTTTGTATATGTGTGTTCATTTTTCACTTTATTCTTTAAAGTTTTGTATTCCTTTAAGATAAATAGTTGAGGTAAGATGGATCAGGAGGAGTCTAACATAGGCTCTTGACTTACTAGAAGTGTATCAGGTATGTATTACTATGTAACACTTCATTCTGATGACTTAATTTATTTCTTGGGAAGGAGAAGAAAAAAGGCATTATTTTCAGAGTGTAGCTTTTGCATTGTTTTCTTTCATGTAAGTCTCCTTTTGATTTTAGTGATTCAGGCAGATTGTGTCACTTCTTTCACTGAAGGTCCTGACACAGCTCTTAAGGAAATGACTATGAGTATTGTCTTCCTTAAGCAGTCTACAACTTGTCTTATAGTAATTCTCTTTATGCCTTCTGAAATGAAATGTGGATTATTTTTGGCTGACCCAGTTATGTCATGACAGAAAGTATTCAAGGATCAGAGAAAATATGAACTATTGTCATTATCACTGGTACATAATTCTGATGTAGCATAGATTTAGGGGAGCTTTAGGACATTACTATTTTGATCTAATGACTGAAATTAGTGTTTTTTTATGTTTAATGGAATTTTTTGGAAAAAATAAAATACAGAAAAGTATAAGAAATTATATAAAAATTACCTAATTCTTGTTATCTTAGAATTAATACCTGAAATTTTTGCCATTTTGCAAAACTTTTTTTTAAAAAGTGATAATAATATAGGTAAACTTCTTGAGTCACATTCTCATAATTTCCCTTCACAAAGCTATCAGTATCATAAGTTACTGTGTATTCCTCTAGTACTTTTAAAAATACATTAACACACACATGCACATGAATTTATCCATATTTGTGTGTGTATATATATCCATAAACAAGATGTTACTGCCATTGCTCTGTGGGTGTTTTTGTTTTGTTTTGTTTTGTTTTTTTGCAGTTTTGTATTTGTATGCACGAGTTTCTCAAGTGGTTGGTTATACAGTAGTCCCCCAATTTTGTGCCCCGGTAGAAGAATGAAACCACAGATAGTAGTACCTCTATATATACTGTGCTTTTTCCTATACATACATACCTTTGATAAAGTTTAATTTATAAGTCAGGCACAATAAGAGATTAATAATAAGAAAGTAGAACAGTTATAAAGATATACTGCAATAAATGTCCTATGAATTGGTTTCTCTCTCAAGATATCTTATTGTCCTGTATTTTCACTTGTGATGAGAAAATGCCTACATGATGAGATGAAGTGTGGCAAATGATGTAGGCATTGTGACATAGAGTTAGGCTACTACTGACCTTCTGATGATATGTCAGAAGAAGGATCATCTGCTTCAGACCACAGTTAACTGAAACCGTGGAAAATAAAATCCTGAATAAGGGGGCAGACTGCTGTACCAATTTACATTCCAACCATCAACATATGAAAATCCATTGTCCCAAAATGTCACTAACACTTGAATATTGTTGGGTTTTAGTGTTTGGTTCTTTGAGTGAAAAAATAACAGTATTTCATTTTAATTTATAAAGCTAAGTATGTTTTCGTATCTGTATTAGCCATCTAAAGTTCTTGTGTTTTAAAAAACTAGAGGAGGGGAACCTGGGTGGCTCAGTCAGTTGAGTGTCCGACTCTTGACATGCTCAGGTCATGATCCTGGGGTCGTGGGATCAAGCCCCATGTAGGGGGCTCTGTGTTGAGTGTGGAGCCTGCTTAGTATTCTTTCTCTCCTCCTCTGCCCCTCGCTCGCGTGCTCTCTCTCTAAAATAAAAATTAAAAAAAAAAGGGAAAAACCTTTAGTTTTTAGAGCAGTTTTAGGTTCATAGCAAAATTGAACAGGAAGTACAGAGGGTTCCCATTTACCCTGTGTCCCCACACATGTACAACCTCCCGCTGTCAACATCCCACACCAGAGTGGCACAGTTGATAAGCCTACACTGGACACATCATTATCATCTAGAGTTCAGGGCTTACACTAGGATTCACTCTTGGTATTATACAGTCTGTGGGTTTGGACAAATGCATAATGCCATTTGTCTATCATAGTATCATGCAGAGCAGTTTCACTGCCCTAAAAATCCTCTGTGCTCTGTTCATCTTTCTCTCTCTCCCAACCCCTAGCAGCCACTAATCTCTTTACAGTTATTTCATAGTTTTGCCTTTCCTAGAATATCCTACAATTGAAGTCATTCACTATGTAGTCTCTTCAGATTGCTTCCTTTGTATAGTAATATGCATTTAAGTTTCCTCCGTATCTTTTCATGGCTTGATAGCTTATTTCTCTTTAGCAGTGAGTAATATCCCATTATCTGGATTACCACACTTTATTTCTCCACTTATCTACTGACGAGTATCTTAGATATTTTCCAAGTTTTGTAGTTAGTAAGTAAAGCTGCTATAAACATTTGTGTGGAGGCTTTTGTATGGACCTATGTTTTCAACTCCTTTGGGTAAACCCTAAGGAGTGTGATTGTTGGATCACATGGTAAAAATAGGTTTAGTTGTTTAAGAAGCCACCAAACTGTCTTCCAGAGTAGCTGTACCATTTTGCATTTGTGCCAGCAATGAGTAAGTTCTTATTGTTCTGAATCCTTACCAGCATTTGGTGGTATCAGTGTTCTGGATTGTGGCCATTTTGATAAATGTGCAGTGACATTTTATTGTTTTAATTTTTATTTCCCTGATGACATAAGATGTGGAGCATCTTTTCATATGCTCATTTGCCATATGTACATCTTCTTTGGTGAGGTGTCTGTTAAGGTCTTTGGCCTTTTTTTTTTTTTTTTTTTTTTTTTTTTTTTTGAGGGAGAGACAGAGCATGAGCAGGGGAGGGACAGAGAGAGAGAGAGAAGGAGACACAGAATCCGAAGCAGGCTAAAGGCTCTGAGCTGTCAGCACAGAGCCCAACAACATGGGGCTCCAACTCATGAACTGAGAGATCATGACCTGAGCCAAAGCCGGACACTCAACCAACTGAGCCACCCAGGCGCCCCCTTTGGCCTATTTTTTAATCAGGTTGTTTTCTTGTTGAATTTTAAGAGTTGGTGTATTTTGGATAACAGTACTTTATTAGCTATTCCACTGTCTGGTTTGTCTTTCCATTCTCTGACAGTTTCTTTCAGAGAACAGAAAATTTTAATTTTAATGAAGTCTAGCTTATCAGTTATTTCTTTCATGGATCATGCCTTTGTCATCATATCTAAAAAGTCATCAGTAAACCAAAGGTCATCTAGATTTTTTTCTATGTTACTTAGGGGTTTTATAGTTTTTCATTGTACACTTAGGACTGTGATCCATTTTGAGTTAATTTTTGTGAAGGGTGTAAGGTCTGGGTCTAAATTATTTTTTGCTCGTGGATGTCCAATTGTTCTAGCATCATATATTGAAAAATTATCTTTCCTCCATTGTATTGCCTTTGCTCTTTTGTCATAGAACAGTTGATTGTATTTATATAGGTCTATTTCTGGGCACTATATTTCTGTTCCACTGATCTATTCGCTTTTTTTTTTTTCAGTAGCACCCTATCTTGATTATGTTACTTTTATAGTGTGTCTCCAGGTCACGTAGCATCAGTCTTCCAGCTTTGTTCTTCTCTCTTGATATGGTGTTGACTATTCTGGGTCTTTCACCTTTCCACATAAACCTTAGAATTAGTTTGTTGGTATTCATAAAATAACTTCCTGGGATTTTGATTGCATTGAATCTGTAGATCAAGTTGAGAAGAGCTGACATCTTAACAATATTGCGTGTTCACATCCATGAAAATGGAACATCTCTCCATTTATTTATTTCTTGATTTCTTTCATCACAGTTTTGTAGTTTTCCTCATTTAGATCTTATACATATTTTGTTTGATTTATACACAAGTACTTCTTTTTGTGTATGTTAATGTAAATAGTATCATGTTTTAGGGGCACCTGGGTGGCTCAGTTGGTTGAGCATCCGACTTTGGCTCAGGTCATGATCTCACGGTTCATGAGTTCAGGCCTCACATTGGGTTCCGTGCTGACAGCTCAGAGCCTGGAGCCTGCTTTGGTTTCTGTGTCTCCCTCTCTCTCTCTGCCCCTCTGCTGCATGCTCTCTGTCTCTCTGTCTCTGTCTCAACAATGAGTAAATATTTAAAAATTTTTTAAAAATACTTAAGAAAATAGTATCATGTTTTATATTTCAAATTCCACTTGTTCATTGCTGGTATATAGGAAGGCAGTTTACTTTTGTACCTTTACTATGTGTCCTACAACCTTGCTATAATTATTTGAGGAGTTTTTGTTGATGCATTCAGATTTTCTATAGGGATGATGATCATACCTGTGAATAAAGACAATCTTCTCCGTCCCAGTCTGTATACCTTTTATTCGCTGTTCTTATTGTATTAGCTAGTACTTCAAGTAAGATATTGAAAGGAGGTGGTAAGAGAGATATCATTGCCTTGCTCTTGATCTTAGTGGGAAAACTTCCAACTTTATCACCATTAAGTGTGTCCTTAGCTAAAAGGTTTTTGTAGGTATTCTTTATCAGGTTGAGAAATGTGCCTCTATGCTCATTTACTGAGATTTTAATCATGAATGGGTATTAGACCTTGTCTTTTTTTTTTTTTTTTTTTACATCTTTTGGTATAATCATGTGATTTTTTTTTTAATTTAGTCTTTTGATGAGATGAATTATGTTGATTTTTGAATGTTGAACCACCCTTGTATGGTTGGCATAAATCCCACTGGGTCACAATGTATAATTCTTTTTATGCATTGTTGGACTCTACTTGCTAATATTTTGTTGAAGATTTTTGCATAGATATTACCCTATTATAGTTTACTTATAATGCCTTTGGTTTTTGGTATTAGAGTAATGCTGGCCTCATAGAATGATTAATCGGTCTACATACATGAAACTAGAGTCCCACAAAGAATG